AGGTTTCTTGAAGCGTCTTGGAGACGTTGTTCTCCACAGTTCTTCTGGATTGAGTCTGTCTCAGTTTGTTCTGTTTCTTCATGTCATTCCAGACAGACTGATGATGATCAGATCAGATCTCTGTGTGGAGCAAACAAAAATTTCACTGGATCATTACAATTAATGGCATGTTTGGAAATGTAAACTGATATTTCCTACTGACACACTACAGCAAAAGATAGAAATAACTGACTTAAAATATTTTTTTAGCTGGAGAAAATACTAGTGTTCTAATCATTTTGGCCACCACTGTAATGAAAACCATAGTAATTGAACTACAGTACTTTAGGTAGCATTTAGGTCATATGTGATCTTGCTCATTTTTAACCTGTATTTCACGTATCAGGTGAAGGAAAACAACTACAGAGGGCATGGAGACAGTGTGGATCAGCTGTGCTGGCATCCCACCAACCCTGATCTGTTCGTCACCGCATCAGGAGACAAGACCATCCGCATCTGGGACGTACGGACCACCAAATGCATGGCCACGATCAGCACCAAAGGTGAAGCACTGAACCTATCCGTCATATCTGTTGATCTTATGAGGTTTATTCATATGTGGGATTTTCTCCGACAACTTTTAGGGGAGAATATCAACATATGTTGGAGTCCTGATGGTCAGACCATTGCTGTCGGTAACAAGGATGATGTTGTGACTTTTATTGATGCCAAAACGCACCGTCCCCGTGCCGAGGAGCAGTTCAAGTTTGAGGTCAATGAGATCTCCTGGAATAATGACAATGACATGTTCTTCCTGACAAACGGAAACGGATGTATTAATATATTAAGGTATGTTTGGTGGTAGTTGTAAGAGGCTGTTGGTGTGCAGAATATTTTGGTGATTTCTTTAAATCAGTTGTCATGTTTATGTCTTTGTTTCAGTTATCCTGATCTCAAGCTCATTCAGTCAATTAATGCCCATCCGTCCAACTGCATCTGCATTAAATTCGATCCCACGGGCAAGTATTTTGCCACCGGAAGTGCGGATGCGCTGGTCAGTCTGTGGGATGTGGAGGAGCTGGTGTGTGTGCGCTGCTTCTCCAGGTCAGTTCGTCATGACTTTGTCAGAATTTGACTTTTTAGCTCATAATTATGACTTGGTATGTCATCATTTTGACTTTTCATCTCATAGCTTTTACATTTTATGTCATAAAGACATTTTAAAATGAAGAATTGTGTTTCATAATCATGGCTTTTTGACATACTTTTGACTTCTCTCATAATTTGGGCTTTTTATCTCATAAATATGACTTGGTATGTCATTTTCACTTTATCTCATAGCTTTTATATTTTATGGCAAAGACTTTATGAAATAAGTTTTTGAAACAAAGATGGCTTTTTGTCATAATTTTGACTACTTATCTCATAATTATGAGATATAAAGTGCAAATTATGGTTTAGACTTCTGAAATAGTCAAAATTAATGACTTTTTATCCCATAGTTTTTACTTTGTGTCATAAACACTTCTAAAATTGACCTTTGAAAAAAAAAAAAAAAAAGACTTTTTTGGATTTATCCATTTTTACTACATATCAATTTTTTTACTTTGTCATAATTTCTCTATTAATTTTGCCATGTGTCATAATTTTGACAATTTCATAATTTATTTTCTAGGTCGGTTGATGCAGTGTTGTTGTTATTATTAGCTAAAACAATTAAAACTGAAATCAGTCTGAAATAAAATAATGGAAACAAGGAAACAACATAAATTAGAAATGTTGCCTTGGCAGCTAACAAAAATAAAATGACTAAGACTGAGAAATAAATAATAATAACAAAAGTGTAAAACAACACATAAAGCTAAAATCATCTGAAGATATAAAAATACAAGCTTATTCAAAATATTAATGTTGTATTAACTTTGAATTGTGTGTATGCACCGATAGATAGATAGATAGTGAATATTGTGTTTGTCACTTTCAAAGAGATCAGAGTTCACTGATTGTAATTAGTTGGCAGACGAGCACATTCGCCTTATTTTCACTTTACATTAAATAACATTTTCATAATATTTTGAATCCCACAACAGACTCGACTGGCCTGTGCGGACGCTTAGTTTCAGTCATGATGGGAAAATGCTGGCGTCAGCCTCTGAGGATCATTTCATTGACATTGCTGAAGTAGAGACGGGTGAGCAGACACATTTTGAAATGATCGTGAAAGCTTGAATTGTGTTTTCTGTCTGACTGATGGTTGTTTCGTGTTCTTGCTGTAGGTGAGAAGCTCTGGGAGATTCAGTGCGAGTCTCCGACCTTTACTGTAGCGTGGCATCCGAAGAGACCTCTGCTGGCGTACGCCTGCGACGATAAAGAGGGCAAATATGACAGCAACCGAGAGGCAGGGACCGTCAAGCTCTTTGGACTTCCCAATGACTCCTGAGGACCAGAGGTTTCACGTGTTCATGCTTTGAGGTTTAATGGCTGCTTCACTTGATATTATTGCTGTAAAATAGTTCAAAGATATTCGAGTCTCCGACCTTTACTGTAGCGTGGCATCCGAAGAGACCTCTGCTGGCGTACGCCTGCGACGATAAAGAGGGCAAATATGACAGCAACCGAGAGGCAGGGACCGTCAAGCTCTTTGGACTTCCCAATGACTCCTGAGGACCAGAGGTTTCACGTGTTCAGGCTTTGAGGTTTAATGGCTGCTTCACTTGATATTATTGCTTTGTATTAGATTTGAAGTTAATGCTGTAAAATAGTTCAAAGATATTTTGATGTTCAGCTCTCATATTACTTGAGTTCCTGAATGATCAAGGTATCAGTTGCAAGCATAAATAACTACTGCCAGCAGCTCCTCTGCAGAACATAAGAATTATGTTCATCTTTTTCCAAAAATTGGCCTGGTGACGTGGATGGAAGTCTAATCTGAGCGGTGTTATCACATCTGTGTAGATGACTTGAAAATAATTTGACTTGCAGAGCATGCTGTTGTTGTTTCCCATACTTGAGCATTGCCATTTTGTAAAAAAAAAAAAAAAGTATTGGATTTGTTTCATCTTAACAATCTTTTGTTCAAATGCATGTCTTGTATCTCCAGTTTTAGAAGTGACCAGCAGAGGGCATCACAAGCTCAGAGGAAACAAGGCATGGCATTGCAATGTATAATATTGACATTTTTGTCTGTTTGCCTTTTTTAATAGAAAAACTCTGTACTGTATTTTTTAAATAAAGTGTTTCATAAAGCATGATTGATCTAAAAGCCATATGACATGTTATGCTTTTTAAATTGAATACAAAGCACCATATTTTCATGTGAGCAGTGTTATTTTAGTATTATTTATAAACTATTATAGTATTTATAAATATTTTGAATGAGCTTTTATTTTTTACGTTTTCAATGTTTGATTTTTAGTTTAAATTTGAGTAATTTTGTTATGTGCATTAATCATTTGTGTTAGTTTTTTTTAAATATTTTTACTTTAGTACTTAAGTTGCCAAGGCAACATTTCTAATTTTAAAATTTTCATCTATTTATTATTATAAATGGATTTGTATTTCAATTAATGAAAATGTTATATATATATTAGTTTTAGTTAATAACAACACTGCATGTCACAGGAAGAAAAAAAATATAAGAATAGTGACAAAACTGTTTTTGTTTAGTTGGTTCAGATAACTGGGAAGGGTTATATATATATATTTTTTTTTATGTTGGCTTGGACCTTTACAAGTCTATTTATTTATTTATTTATTTGAATGGGTAATGAAAAAATTATATGTAGTAAAAGAAAAATATTGTATGGTATATGTTAGATATAGAACATCCTAAACTTGGCAGAAGCCTATAAATGTGCATATCATTGCTCTTTTGATGCGAAATGTTGCTGAATGACGAAAAGCAGAATTACTGGAATATCCATTTTGATATCTTTATAAACGTAAGTGTATGAAGACCAAACCTTATTTCTATGTAATTAAAAATATATATTTGTAACCATTTTCAATCATTGAAATACTCTGGGGAGCAAACAGGCCTGATTTGCTGGGATTATGTAAGTTTTATTTATGAATGAAAAGGCTCTTCTTTGTACACTTGTGCACTTTTTTTCTCCCAAATTTATTGGTGTGCATTGCTAAATTATTTAGTTATTCGCATTTATGAATCACATTATAAATGTATATAGTTTTTTTTATTGTGTTCAGTTAAAAAATAGCTTAAGTGAGTCGTTGAATCATTCACTCAAACGACTCATTCGCAGTCCGCTTCATTGAGATGCCAGTTTTTAATTTTTGAGTGAACTATACCTTTAAACTTAACACTGGACATTACATTTAAGTTAATAGTTATTCAGATTAGCTTCTCTGATCCATTTTTTAGTATGACACTTTTATATGACTAAAGATGTTTGGTTCTTATGTTTTCATCCAGGTGCTGCATTTTACATTTGTAAGTCGCTTTGGATAAAAACATCTGCTAAATGACTAAATCTAAATGAAAATTTACAGACGAAGCAGAGAATACTTTATTACGGTATGTGCCATGCCATATGATGGCAAGTTAAATATTTCTCCTGTCTCTGATGTCATTGCATAAACCAGAAAAGGAGTTGTTAGAAAAAGTGTGAATAGATGTGTCTCTACTTCTTTGGCTCTTACTGAACGGCAGTGTGGTGATTTCTGTGGGACGGTGGTGTGGTGGAGGGTCACTGGAGGTGGAGCAAACAGCGGTAGTCTGTAGACTTGGAGCAGCCTCCGGTCAGCAGGGAATAGCTGGTAAGTGAGATTAGGTTCAGGCCATCGTTAATCTTTCTCCATTGTGACAGACTTGCTCAGCACGAGCGTCTTCCGTGCCCACTTCAGGAGCCTGGTGGCAGCTGTCCTCACCCTCCTCTGCTGAATCACCCCAGCAGGCTCCAGGATGTCTCACTTGGCCACTTCCTACATGTGGCACGCTGCTGCAGGCGTCCTTCGATTGCTGCTTAATTACATTTCATTAAGCAGAGCCCATTTCCTTTGTGATGTCCAGTTTCCAGGCTTTGGCTCATCACCATTATTCTCATCCTCTTGTTTATGGTTGGGGATTTAAATCCATTTATTTCTGTTAATCTTGCAGCTGTTCATTATTTCTATGTATAAAAGTCTGAACTCACTCGGATTTGTTTCTGTTTTACAGTCTTAATTAAATGCGACCTTTTCCATTAACAGTTTTATAAGCTAATATTATATAACGCTTCGTTTATCTTATTGTGACACTGGCAGAATAAATTTAAATGAAGTAATAAAATTAAGGAATTTTTAAAAATAATTCAAGAGACCATAATCATTCCGCCTACACTACGGTTACCACCCCCCCACCCCACAAAAAAATTCTGGAAACTTTCAGGAAATGTACCATCCATTTGCCAACTTAGCAGACATTACAACCATTCCACCATGTCTGATATCTATGGAATTTACACGCTTGTCTGATAGATTTTGATCATTGGTCTCTTATGAGACTCTCTCGGTCCCTCAGGTCTTAATGGATTAGTTTCTCCACCAGCCATATTATTGGCTTTCGTTACTCTTCCAATTTGTCTTTCAGTTCTTGCTCCAGTAATTTATGGGGCTTGATGTGAAACAAAACATTTCTGACATGCAATTTATTAGCAGCCCACAGTAACCTTTGCTGTTCAACAATTCAGCCTCTCAGAACGTTGTTTTTTCAACAGCTTTTGAATGAATACAATTTGTAATTCGCATGCAGGAGCAATATTTTATGCATGGCCACTTTCCTGCACTATTTGTGTTCAAATATTCAGATTGGACTACGGTTCTTACTGTAATCAGGCTGTTTCTTGCGTGCAGACTTTAACTAGTTAGTTGCCTCTTCAGGAGGCTGGATTTGGAACTGTTTGCTGCAGTTATTTAGGAAGGATATCCACTCTTAAACCTTGTAAAGCCTGACATAACAGTCTAATATATACAGGTGCATCTCAATAAATTAGAATGTCGTGGAAAGTTCATTTATTTCAGTAATTCAACTCAAATTGTGAAACTCGTGTATTAAATAAATTCAATGCACACAGACTGAAGTAGTTTAAGTCTTTGGTTCTTTTAATTGTGATGATTTTGGCTCACATTTAACAAAAACCCACCAATTCACTATCTCAACAAATTAGAATATGGTGACATGCCAATCAGCTAATCAACTCAAAACACCTGCAAAGGTTTCCTGAGCCTTATATATATATATATATATATATATATGGAACAGTTACATCTCCACAGCTGATCACTGTAGAGTATATTTTTGTAATGTTTGAGTAGAAGAAATAACTTTTTACTTTTTATTAAAATTGCTCAAAGAAAGTTTGAGAAGTAGGACAAGCATGTGAAGTAACAAACACAAAACCTGTCATCATCAGATCCTTACAGTCTCATAGGAGCATGATATATATAAACGTGAGTGGGTTTCGGTGAGCAAGTCCTATGTCAGCATTTGCTCATGAAATTCAGTCATAACATTGCCTAATACATGTACATTTCAGGAAATCATTGGGAGCTTTACTGTTAAACTAGGAGTTTTTAAAGCAAATATATGAGACGTTCATGAGACATGCTCACCTTTTTTAGTGCTAGACAGACTCTAGTCTTGTTAGCGCTTTATTTGAATTCACAAAAACATGAACATTTAAAACCTTTTATAAAGCATTTTTATTTGCCATTTCAAAAATGGTACTTTAGGTCATTTAGGTTCATTAATGTAACAGATTTACAGTGATTTGGTTTGGCCGATGTTGTATTACATTTCATGCAATAAGAAAATCATTCTCTACATTCTCCACTCTTAACCCTGGATCAAACCTCAAACGTCTGAATGCTTCTCTATAAACTTATTTTTTCTTTTAACCTTTCAACTTTATCGTATTCACATATAATACGATAGACATACATTTATGCAATGAAAATGAATTAATGTACATATGGAGAGGCAATTGAGCTGTTTGGACTCTCATTCTGACGGCACCCATTCACTGCAGAGGATCCATTGGTGAGCAAGTGATGGAATGCTACATTTCTCCAAATCTGTTGTGATGAAGAAACAAACTCATCTAGATCTTGGATGGGCTGAGAGTGAGTTTTCAGCAAATTTCAGTATTTTTCAAAGACTTTATCTAAGTAAAGATGCAACCTTTCTATGCATTTTGAAATGAAAATAAATGGTATTGCTTGATCCTGGCAGCATTACGCACTCTTCGACTAAATGAGTTTGAAACATGAAAGCCTATTCAGCTTGGAAGTGTACGTTTATAGCTGTAAATAACACACTGAGCATCCAGTATTGTGCCTCAGGATGAACTGTGGCCAAACTAAACTTTTTTCACACTCAAACTTACAAAAACTTGCCTAATTACAGCACCAGCATACTCATAACTTAAGATCTAGAGGACGTTTTTGATGAAACACAAAAATATCTGTGCCTCAGTGCGACACTCTTGTTTTTATCCATTGCACTTTTTATAAACATGTTCACCTAGTTTCTGATCAGATAATGCTGAAAGGTTGCTGAGGTTAATTTTGACAGAGTAGTTGATTATTCAGATCCAGAGTTCATGAGAAATGATCAGAGATGCAGTAAACAGTAAATCATTCTACTAAAGTTACATTTCCATATGGTTTGTATTTGCTTTTTAAAGAAATTACATTCTAAAGTTGTTTTATAAACCAAAGCCCCAAACACACAGCAAGAGGATAAAAATCAGTGTTATACTACATCATATGTACCAGTAATTTACATATGTTTAAGAAACTACTTTAAACTGAAATGAACTATTACAAATTCATTCAGGTCCCTGACAACAGAAACTAGCTCAGTTGAAAAGTTTAGACCTCTGCTTTCATTATTTCATCCTGTACAGCCACAAAATGTTTATGGCATAAACAAATATTCTCAGATTTATAAATGAAATGATGTGAAAACATGTATGTCCAAAGCCCACATTAATGGCATATGTCATGTTTATGCACTGGTAGGAATTTTAAAAAATCCAATACACCTAATATATACAAAATTATTAATATATTTTTTTATGCTGAAACAAAAAGACCAGTCATAGCCTGCAGATTGACAGCTCCCCAGCTGACAGTGTTGAAGAGTGATGTTGCAGTTCAAGTCAAAATAAATAAATGTATTTAATTAATTGAATGTTTGCAGTGATTCATCCAAAATATTTCTCATTCATGAATATTCATTGAAAGGACAGTGCTAAATAATAAAATAATAAAATAGTAAATAATAGCCATTTTTAATGGTATCATGCATTCACAGCCAAAGAATGAAAACAAATAAATTGCATGCAAGTGTTTGGTCCAACCCAACCGAAGGGTGTTGTGGAAATGTGAAACATAGCCCTTAACATAGACACTTTTTAGCTTAGAGCATCATTACTCTTTTATATATTGATTAAATATATTAAACATCCCAATATGATTTAACTGCTGTTAGTTAACTGAAATCACATTGGTGTTCATCAATGAAATCTCTTTGAGCTGTGCATTTATCATATTCATCACAAAATTGTCAGTTCACTTTTGTATTCATTAATTATGTTGGATATAATTCACCCAAAAAATGAAAAATCGCTGAAAATGTATTCACCCTTAGGCCATCCAGGATCTAGATGAGTTTGATTCCAACTGATCCTCTGCTGTGAATGGGTGCCGTCAGAATGAGAGTCCAAACAGCTGATAAAAACACAATAATCCACAAGCGATCCACTCCACTCCAGTCCATCAATTAAAATCTTGTGACACAAAAAGCTCCAATGGATCCTCTGCAGTGAATGGGTGCCGTCAGAATGAGAGTCCAAACAGCTGATAAAAACATCACAATAATCCACAAGTAATCCACACCACTCCAGTCCATCAGTTAACATCTTGTGAAGCGATAAACTGCGTGTTTGAAATAAACAAAATAAATTTTACCAAAAAACAAGGCATTTTACCATTGCTTCTGGCTAATATGAGTCCTCTTCCCAAAATATTGATTGTCTGAATCAGGAGAGAAATATGCACAGATCAATCACCTTTACAAATATGTTGGTGGATTTTCATGTGAGAGGAAAAATACTAATTGTTTCTTACAAATATGCAGCTTTTTGCTTCACAAGATGTTAACTGATGGACTGGAGGGGAGTGGATTACTTGTAGATTATTGTGATTTTTTTATCAGCTGTTTGGACTCTCATTCTGACGGCACCCATTCACTGCAGAGGATCCATTGGTGAGCAAGTGATGCAATGCTACATTTCTCCAAATCTGTTCCGATGAAGAAACAAACTCACCTACATCTTGTTGAGATGGGCTGACGGTTGAGTAAATTTAAATTTTTGGTTAAACTATTCCAATAAGCCGATATATTCAACCAAACTCACATGCTCCAGATGTCCTCATTAAAATCATTTCAGATCCATAAATGGTTAGTTTTCTACTGCTGGACATCTCCAGTCTGATAGCATCTTAAAGATCACAGAATCACCAACACAGTCAGCCCTTTTACCCAGTTTATTATGTAATCTTCATGTAATAGAAAAATGACATAAAATGAAAATTCCAAATACGTCTGTGATACATATGAAACGATGGAAGTATCATTAAAGTGGAAATCGACACCTAAAGTGTTTTGATTCTGTTGGAAATCAACTTTATACTGTGACCTCAAAAAGTATTTGAACAGGTGAGCTGCACTTAAACGTATGAATTTCTTTGTGCACTCTATAACATGAAAAAAAAACATTAGATGTGATGAACTGAAGTTCAGGGTCTAGAATAAATTGTTTGCAGATGACACTTGGTTTGATATTTAATATCTAATGACATTTAAGTACAACCAAAAGTGTCCAAATATGTTTTAGGGTGATTTTGTGTGTTTAAATGTCATGAAGTGATTAACCACTGCATTGTGGCAGCACAATGCAAGAATGTCTTTTATGCCAAGAGGTATATTGGTAGTACACCTAATGTAATATCACATTTTTTGTCTGAGATGTGATAAACGACTAGAAATGACCCTAGTTGAGTAGTAGCAATGGTTTTGAAATGATCTCTCCATTCTGTCAACCAAACAACCTGAATGATAGGCCTGATAATTCATCACATCCCATTAGACAGATGGGAACTAATCCCTGGATAAAGGGTGCAGCTTCTGTTGCAGGGACAGTGATACATAAACAGGTACAACCTGACGCTCGGATTTGGTATTTAATGCAAAGTTTATCTGCATGCATACATGAACATTAGGACTCCCATATACCACGATTCCACCGTCTTCACGGCACAGCCTGCTTTAGACTGTACACACATAAAACACATCAACGGTGCAACATGAATAACATTGTACAGCACAAACAGGTACAGACGCACATAAATACACACTTACATTGAGAACATACAGTAGCAATCTTTTTTAAAGACTCTCTCTCTCTCTCTACGGAAAGTATATACACTTTCTGACATGTAGAGTTAAATAGATAGACATATAACTTACATTGAGAACATACAGTAGCAATCTTTTTTAAAGACTCTCTCTCTCTCTCTCTACGGAAAGTATATACACTTTCTGACATGTAGAGTTAAATAGATAGACATATTTTTACAGATGCATGACTACAAGATGATTATTTTTTCATTAATTATTGCAGTCTAACAATATGGCTTTGACTAGTGAAAAACCTTTTAGCACTACAAAAATGAAAAAGTCAATCTCGTTCTTTCTTTATAGTTTAATTTAAAAAAACGTACTTGCGTACTGCTAAAATTAAAGTCTACTTGAGAGTAGCACGTGTTATTCTAAAGTACGTCATTCTGTTCTTACTAAGATTTTTTTTTTTATACAAACTTTACAATCTTCAAAGCATTTTGATCACAGAACAACCAGCCTAATGGGTACGGATACATTCCTGTAGGCATATCATTTGCTAACAGAGTTTAAAAAGGGACACTGATTGGAAAACATACAACTACTGACTTTTTGCAATGAAAACTTATCTATAGGTTTATATTTCCCATCATGCAATACAATAGCCATTTGGGCATTACTATACAAAATAAGTTTGCCTCTTTAGCCCAGGTTTCATATGTAAACATTTATACCTCCCCAAAATATGTGTCCAACATTTTTTATCAAATGGCAGTGTTTACTAAATGCTTAACATAAAAACATTAATAATTGAAGTAAATAAAAAAGCCTGAAGTTATCATATTTGTAACCCCACATCAGAATTTGCCAGCAGTAAGATGAATATTTTGGGCAGTATTTTTATAAATGATACATGTATTGTGTTTCACAGCAGGAATGATTGTTGATGATCAGATGTGTGAATATAATGGTTCTAAATATATTGTTGTAATAGATAATTGAACATGCTGTTTCTTGAACTGTCAGTGCTGTACTAAGATGTAAAATTGCAGTTTATTCTCTCTTTGGTTTTTACTGTTGTGATTGAAGCTTATGCATTCTTAGTATTAATTTAGCATGTCATTTCATTGACTAATAATTATTTTCTAAAACTTTGGAAGCCCTTTTCCATAATTTCCAGGTAATTGCAATGTTTTATCTTTACATAACTATTCAAATAAGGCTGTTATTCATATTTTGTGGAAAATAACAAATATTCTGTGAACCATGTTTTGTCTTTCTTGCAATTTTGAGTTTATATCTCACAATTCTGACTTTCTTCGCGTGACAATTCTGAGATGAAAAGACAGAAGTGCAAGATATAAACCCACAATTGCAAGGAAAAAAGAATATTGAGATTAAAAAGTCACAATCAGTTTATTATTATTTTTTAAATTTCATGCTGAAAAAAAAAACTTGTTTTCTTGCAATACCAAGTTTACATCTTGCAATTCTGAGTTTATATCTTGCAGTTCTGAATTGTGAGAAACAAAGTGTGAATTGTGAGATAAAAAGATGCAATTACCTTTTTTAGTATTATTATTTTTAATGCATGCATGAAACTGGCTGCAATATAAAACAATGTCTGCACTTTATGCAATAATACTAAATTCATTATACATAGGCTTGTTTTTTGCTTTTTAATGTTACAATTACCTACTTTTTTTTTTCTTTCTAAAAAGCACATTGCAAGTCAAGTCAGACCTTCACATCCTATTCAGCTAAGGCAGGTATTCTAACATTGCGGAACATCCCAAATATTTTTGTGAGCCATGTCTAAATAAAATTTGGATGTGAAGCCCACAAATAACAAACATACAATGATGAGACCACTTCATTTCTGATTGTCATGTGTGAGTGATCGAACATCAGATCTGCATTCTTTGAAAATGATGAATTTGCTGTGAAACACTGACTGACTGTATGGTTTGGAGATCTTGAATAACTCTTACTTGTAAAGAGAATTTGGTCCAGTTTGTAAAATGATAATCAGAGACACTTACTGAGCTTTTGCTGGCAAGGCTAATGTGAATATTACTTGTGGTCATCTCAAGTTCTATTTCACACTAACAAAAATAGAGAAAGAATCAAAATAAATAACAATACGTCACAAATAAATGAGAACTGTCAGGCAGCAAACCATTTGAGCATTCAGGTGGTCAAACGTGGCAAGTGTATCAGCATCTCCCATATTTACATATGGCAACGTATCATCAAATTCACTGATGGCAAACGTGATTCATCAGATAATAAGGTAAGGTAATATTTTGACCTCATGCAACTAAAGCATACTGCATTTCACTGACAATTCTTCTGTGAAAGAAGGGACAGTTATATCAAGCTACAGTTTTAAAATGCTCTGACCCCACTGTGTTTTAAATAAATAAATCTAGTAAGCATCATATTCCCAGTGCCAGAGCTCAGTATCAATGTGCTGTTATTGTGGGGCTGATCGTTGAGTACCTAAGGCAGCATCAGAGACCCTGGTGATCAGTAAACAAACACAGAGATCTATAGAAAGTGTAAACAATTTGAACAAACCTGAATGGCAGTGAAAAGAGCAAACGTTGTCGGGTTATGATTTGTGTATCTATCCATAAGAAAGGGAACAAATAAAATTCCGTCAAGGCAGTGAAAAGCCTTTCACCTGTTTGGCAAAAATCCCCCCTCACCCATCTTTCTTGAGAAACAGCTTTGTGTCTGTTACTTTTTAAACATGTCCTGCAAAGGCCCGGGCAGGAATTTGAGAACGGTGTCCAGAATGCTCTCCTCGTCCTCGTCGTCATCTGCCCCGCAGCCTGCTGGGATGGCCTTTTTGGGGCGAGTCAAGGAGCCTTCGCACGCTTGTTCCATAGCCGCTTTCTCCTCTGCTTCCTTCTCTTCTTTCTTCTTTAGTCCATACTATATACACATGCGTAACATATGAAGTTGTAATCAAACATGAGAAGAAAAGGAGTAGTGGACTATTTAAAATGTTGTAATGATGCCATTTCTCATAGCTCTAGTGAATTAAATAGGGGCGAGTCAAGGAGCCTTCGCACGCTTGTTCCATAGCCGCTTTCTCCTCTGCTTCCTTCTCTTCTTTCTTCTTTAGTCCATACTATATACACATGCGTAACATATGAAGAAGAAAAGGAGTAGTGGACTATTTAAAATGTTGTAATGATGCCATTTCTCATAGCTCTAGTGAATTAAATTTTTGGATCAAATAAAATAAAATGAATAAAATGCTATGCGATATATAATATACTATATGATATATTATTTAATAAACTATACTATTTGATCAAAAATACAGTTAAATAAGTAATACTGTGAAATAGTATTGCTGTTTAAATAAACCGTTTTCTATTTGAATATATTTTTTAAAAATGTCAAATTAATTTTCAGCATTATTACAGTGTCACATGATCCTCCAGAAATCATTAGAATATGCTGATTTGCTGCTCAAGAAACACTTATTATTATCATCAATGTTGAAAACCGTCGTGCTGCTTCGTTTTTTTTTTTTTTGTGGAAAGCATGTAACATTTTTTTCAGGATTTCTGAATGAATAGAAAGTTCAGAAGAACAGCATTTATTTAAAATAGAAATCTTTTGCAAACATCTTTACTGTCACTTTATTACCAAGCCAAACTTTTGACTGAGTACTGTACTATACTTGAGAACTTTACTATACTATATACCACAATAGAATTAAGTTGATATATAATATTCTATATAATGCAACTAACAGAAAAACAGATGATCAATTCCTGCTTTATTTTGATCAAATAGTGATATCATCTTAGTTGCCCTATTTTGGGTTCATTTATGAACTTTAAGACCATTGCTGTGTTTCAAGACCGAAACTCTATATACCAAAAGCTATTTTGTATGGAGCACATGGCATGCAGGAAAAAATAGTAGGCTAAATCGTGTGCACGATTTACTATTTCGTTCCCTCGATTTATAAATTGTGCGCACGGTTTACTAATTTGTTCCCTTGATTTGCTAAATCATGCACACGATTTATCAAATCGAGGGAATGAAATAGTAATCGTGTGCACGTTTTAGTACATCGAGGGAACGAATTAGTAAATCGTGCGCACAAATTTATTTTTTTTGTTGGATGTCATGTGCGGGGCTCCGTAATTTTGTATTGTACATTCAAGATTTCTTCAGGCCATAAAGGCCAAACATTAAAACATTAATCTTGTAGTAGGATTAAACTGTTGCCCTTATATAACATGTTGGTCTTAAAGGGATAGTTGTCCCAAAAATGAAAATTCTGTCATCATTTATTCACCCTCACGTTTATAGGCGCTGATTTCATGTGCACTTGAGCCACCGGGGCACAAAAAAAAAAAAAAAATACATGAGATATTCTCTATTAACTTTAACCAATCAAAAAATCGACTGATATTTGGGAGTCTTTCTGATTGGTGGATCTCACATCAGGTCCCGGTGGGTCATGATACACACAGATGCCTCTTTACAGTGGCTAGCAGTGCTGGATAGATTACTTACAAATTGTAGTCCATTACAGATTACAAATTACATAATGGAAATTTTAGTTTGTAACAATCTGTTGGACTACACATATTAGGTAATGTGTTCTGAGTACTTTTTGATTACTTTTAGATTACTTTTGACCTAGTTGTTAAGAAAATGTTTTCCATTTTTTGTTATCAACATCAAAATGTCCATTAAACATTACATTACGCCAAGTTTCAAGTTTTCCCAAACTGGGGTTCGTGAGGTGATGAAAAGCTGATAATTAATCATAATCATAAAATGTCAAATTAAACTAATTGTGTGGCCTTTCCATTTTCTGTGTAATTATAGTCACATGACTAGGTGGTGTGTGATGTTCCATAAAACTGGAAGACTTTGGAAGACCAAATGTATAGAAGCGGTAGGATTTTTTAGGAAGGAAAATTTAAGAGAGAAAATAGAAAAATTATGACAAATCAATACATTATGAATAATTTACTGCCATTGTGTAAGTTGCAATCTCATTATTAGCACTTATTATTACTGTAACAGAATATAAGCACTTAATTTTTGGAATCTGATTACGTAATCCACATTACATGTAATGAGTTACTAATGGTGTTTCATGCGTTCTTTTCCTAAATTCAGCTATTGACCTTTGTTCATTTCATACTTCCGTGATTCAGGGATTGTATGGATGAGACTTGGGGCAGTTTTCAGTATCAGTAGCTCATATTTAGGCAGTTTAAGGAGTTTGATATGGCCGTATGCTTCATATTTATTGAGTTATTAATTGCACTTCTTATGTGGGACATGAAAGAAGATATTTTGAAGAATGTTGGTAACCAAACTGTTTCAGCTCCCATTGACTTCCATTGTATTTTTGGCCACACAATGGAAGTCGATGGGAACCGAAATGGTTTGGTTACCAACATTTCTCAAAATATCTTCTGTTGTGTTTGGAATGACATGAGGGTGAATAAATAATGACAGAATTAAATTTTGGGGTTAACTATCACTTTAAAGTCCCCTACACTCTTAAAAATAAAGGTGCTTCACGATGGCATAGAAGAACCTTTTTGTCTAAATGGTTCCATAAAGAATCTTTAACATCTGAAGAATCTTTCTGTTTCACAAAAGCTTCTTTGTGGCGAAAGAAGGTTCTTCAGATTATAAAAAGGTAAGAAAGAGACGGTTCTTTAAAGAACCTTTGACTGAATGGTTCTTTGTGGAACCAAAAATGGTTCTTCTATGGCATCGCTTGAAGAACCTTTTGAAGCACCTTTATTTTTAAGAGTGTATAGCTCTCCAGATGTTCTCATGGTGATTCTCATGATCATTGGGGATCATGCATGATCCTGTAATGACTTTATACTTCTGGCTTACACTAACGCTACTTTCCTCTCTTAAGAAAGAGCTGTTCAATTAGCAGTAATTAGCTGACATTAAGACCTCCTGCAAATGTGACATTTCATTAAAGGGTAATGGAGATTCTGATTTGATGTGTTATTCCCACACACACATTAATCATTAAGTCCTGTCATCCAGGTATAATGGCTTCATCCTGCTTTAGTTTGAAATCGATTAGCAATTAGCAAACGCTGCCATGTTTACCAATTCATTCAAATGTCCTGGTCTAATCAGCTGTCACAAGGAGCTGAAGTGGACGGGAAATGTGGAAAGCGTACCTTATCTCGAATGGCCTGTCTGACCTTTTCCCTCTCGGCCTCCATACGAGCATGTTTGGTCTTTCGCTCCTCGTCTTGTTGTCTGAGCGCCTCCTGCCTCTCTTCCTCCTTCTTCTGGGCATCAGGGTCCTTCTCCTCCTCTCCACCTAACATCTTCCCCATGTCTTTGGTGGCCCCTGTGCAATAAAGAGCAAAGACATCATAAGCAGTTTTCAATGGCTGATACTGAAATATTGGTCACACTATCATTCAAATTTTCAATTTTTTCATAATGTTAGAGAAGATTTCTATTTCTATTTCTTTCGTTCTTATTATTTATAAACATTTTCTGTTCATGAAAGAATCCTGAAAACGTGGAAAACAGTCATCTTAA